ATATATATATATATATATATATATATGAGAGAGAGAGAGAGAGAGAGAGAGAGAGGGCTTTCCCCCTTCATTTAATATTAAGCAATGGGCAGCTCCAGAGTTGCTTGTGGAAGGGGCTTAGAACTCGAAGTCTGGTTTAGAAGGAGTGTGTGTGTGTGTGTGTGGGGGGGGGTAGGAGGCTTGCTTTGCTTTGCTTTGCAACTATGTTTTTATTTAGATTGCTTGTTTATGACATAGAGGAGCTAGATGAAGATTATTTTGTCAGTAGATTCTTTGTACTTGTTAAGTGTCTTTCATTTACATGGCACTTTAAACCTTATGAAATGCTGCACTATCCCAATTTATTTCTTGGAGGGCTTATCTGACAATTCAAAACTTATGGCTATTGTTTGGTGCATACATTCTGCTATTTCAAAATGCTTGCCATGTACTCCAGGGGGGTGGGGGGTGGGGTGGGCACTTTTCTCCCATGTCCTTTTAGTTTATTGGCCCACAGTAAAACAGGGATCAGAAATGGCCTACACCAGTCTCTCACCTGAGGCAGGAATGGTTTATACACGTCCTAACTAGGGACACCATTAGACAAGGCAAAGGCTGTGGTTGCCTTCAGAAATTCTCCTGTTCCTCTAACAGAGCACATGCAGTCCAATAGAAATATGGCGTGAGCCACAAACGCAAGCCACATATGGACTTTAAAATTTTCTAGTAGCCATATAACAAAAAATAAAAAGAAACAGATGAAATTAATTTTGGTCAATATATTTTATTTAACTCAACTTATCTAAAATATTATTAATTTAAAATATAACCGATGTAAAAAATCAATGAGCTATTCCAACTAATTTTCTTCCTAGTGTCCCAGAAAATACTAGCAATTTACCCTATCTCTGCCTGTTCCTGCCAGAGCTGCTTTCTATGTCCCTTAGAAGTGGCCCAGCAAGGAGGAGAGTTTGCAGCTGTGTACCCAGTGGGACGCCAACTTAGTCCAGCGCTTCAGGAGTGGGGGAAGGAGGGGAAGAGCCATTGGAGGGGAGTGGGGATTTAGGAAAGCTAGAACTAATAATGTCATTGTCTCAGTGTGGGCAGGTTAGAATTACTGCTTCCTCCAAGAATCCCAGTGTAGGACTTCCAAAGTTTGGGAAGTGAAACTCAAAATTTAAAATGCCCAGCACCCTGTAGTGAAGTTCAGCCTCAAGTATCATTATTGTCAACATCAAAATGACTAACATTTTTAAGTGCTAATTTTTACATACTCTAATCTATTATCTTCACAACAACCTGTAAAATAGATAGTATTATTATGCCCATTTTACAGATAAGGCAAATAACTTACCCTGGGTCCCACACCTGGTGAGTATGGGAGCCAGGGTTCAAAGCCAGGCAGTTTAAGCACAGAGAGTATGCTCTTAACAACAATACCACTGGAAAGAAAGTACTCATTTCTCATATGAGAAAATTAATCTAAGATTTCATAAGACAATTGTGAAGATGTTATAAATATCTGGACCACTTGGCCCCTTAATTCCAACTTGATAGCTTTAAAAATAAAGTGGCAAAGACCTTTTCCTCTGTATCAGATCAAGGGGCCTGAGCTGGGGCCAGGTTTGAGATTCCTTTTTTCTTCTCCTCATATGTGAATTAAAAGGCTGAGACTGAGATTTAAGGAGATTGGCTAATGTAAGTGCTGCTCTAAGTTAAGAAATAATCAAATTACCCATCATGTAAAACCCTCCATTGGTACCATAAACCATTTTTTAAGTGATTTTTAAAAAAAGATATGTGTTGTTTAGGAAATGACATTATTTTGGCTCTCTGATATGAAATCATGCATGGGACTAACATATTCCAAACTGTTTATGCTCTAAAGGGTTAGTGTGTAAATTAATAAATTCCTCTTTATGTTAATCAGCTTTTGATATCATTTCACAAAGATAAATAGAAACTTACTTTCTTCCCGAAATGGAACAGAACACAGGAAATATATCAGACCACCATTCTTGCCTCAGATTCTGTTTGTCTTCATTTCCAACCCACATCAAGCCACTGTCTCACAACTTCACTAATAATTGTGGATAGCTTCTTGTCATCTTAAACTGTTTTCCACATGCCATTAGGATAAAGTGCTTATGTATTTTATTCAGTTCCGGAATTTCAAGAGTGAACCATTGACTCATTACAAAAGTATCTTCATCTTTAGAAATTTTTTAGGGCTATAATCTGACTAGTGGAAATCTGATCTTTGCAATACAGAACAAACTCAAGTTAACATACGGGAGTTTCCTGTTCATTTCTGGTACTCTTTATGATGTGAATGGGGATTATACAACTGATATGAAATTGGTCCATTACATACATACTAGAATATGGAAAATATCACAGTTCTAGTAAAAATAAAAGATATCAAAAAATCTCTATGCAGAACCACAATGAACTTTGGTGATATTTTAAGTTAATATTCATGTTCTACTGGAAGGCCCTTATCATTCATGCATCATTCGTGATAGGTGAGGGATTGTTGAAATAGTTTTAATACACATTACTTTTTAAGAGAAAATTTCTTTATATGACTGTTGTCACTTGACACCTCTTTTTTTTGTTTTTGGCCATTTGGTACTATGAAATGGTGGTTGTGACTAACGACACAATTACACTGAATTTTTAAAATTCAGACAGCAAGAACCATAGTCCTTTTCCCAAAAGAGAAATTGTGTCTCCACCCTTGATCGAGTTGATCCTCACTGCTATTTCAGATAATTAAAGCTTAAGAAAAACAGTTTTCAGGGCTGGTATATTTTTGGGGGGCATG